TGGAAGAGTTGTCTGCATTGGAAAAGACATTAAAGTCGGTAGATGAAACTATATTTCTAAGTTTGGATAAGTTTTCAGGAGTACGACTTCTCCTTCGAATGGTTCTCGATGTGGAACGGTTCATATGGTGATGAAAATATTCACCGTAAATCTTAGGGGGCAAAAAAAAGAGCAATGAGCGGAGCTGTCTATGGGAGCCCGCTTCTCAATGAAAAAGATTTCGGGGCTATTTACAAAAATCCCGTCGAGTTGGACATCAAACCGGGTAGGAAAATTTACAAGATTCGTCAAGTCTAAAGTTGTGAGGAAAGAGATATTAAAACGATTAAAATCGCTAGCAGCAATGCATAAAGACTGATCTAAACCGGTTACAAATGTGAAGAGAAGGAGTCGACAAACAGACGAATATCAGAGGCAGGCGCGTCGGGAGCGATGTAAATGTTCGCTAATGTAATATGATGAAACTGACTAATAAATCGGGGCTTACAATAAACAAAAATACAATTTATCTCGGGAGTATTGAATTGAAAACATTTAAGAGCGTTTTTACACCATTTTCTGTTGATGAAAGTGACCACTCCACCACCTCTGTGAAAGAAGCTCGCATTACGATCGGTTCGGAGTATGCCAAATCCATCAAGATGCACAACGTTGTCCTCAATGTCAGGATGTAACCAGCTTTCCTGGAGTAGAATTGCCCCTACATTCTTGCATTATTTCTGGTATATCATGCTCTTGACATCATCGAGTTTTCCCGTGAGCGAACGAACGTTACTTGAGATAATAGATGGAACGGTCAAATTATCAACAGAACGACGCCTAAGCGCCACACGCCAGCCAGCACGGTGTTTTTTATGGTGTCCTTGAACAGCTTGTTGCAGTCGTTTGAATCGATTTCTCACAGAATGGGCAAAACTTAGAAACTGATGTTTCTGCGCGATAAACTGCGCGGATTTCAAAAATATGGCGTTGTAGGACAACATTTGACTTTGAGAATATAGCGAGTTGATTCAAAAGTGATGTTAACGCGTTCCTTCACTGTAACTTTACGAAAATAATATTCGACGATAACAAGGCACGGCCAAATTCAAAGGCCCCTCTCTCTCTTTATCCGTTTATCCCTGTGACCTCTCGGTCAGAAACACAAGTTTTCTAACTAGAGTGAAGCATTTAGGAGTTACCATTGATGAAAAAACCGTAAGAATTCAGTTCGCTTTTTGTTTATCTAGTTTTCCTTTTCTTATTTATTGGTCTCCAGTGGCTTTTACTGGATTACTTAGGACAGAGTTCCAAGTTCTTTTCGGCGCCTTGTCAATTATCACTGGTATGAATTTACGCCCGCTGCTAATCTAACTAAAAGACCTATATGAACTACACTTGACCTCATGTGAAAAATTTGCACAGAAAACCCTATCTGACCCCACTTACCCTTTACGTGGCGAGCTGTACACTGGCCCCGTTACGCGTTTGTCCACGCGTTTGACAGATTTTTTATCACCATCTCTCACAATAACCTCTACCGAAATTCTGCCATTCCCTACCTCGCTAGAATGTTCCGAAGTCTTTACTAACCTTGTAGGTTAACTGTTCCACTCGAATAATTTTTCTCTTCTTTCGATGAGGTGATCTGCGATGATTGACTGAATAGCGGACCCCTATCCATGCAAGCACAAATACAATACCAAACAGAACGTTAGAGAATACAAAACATTCTACAATAGAGGACAGCTTACCTTATTGTACGAGGTCCCCAAACAGCAAACCAGATTTTTTTGTTGTCGTGATATGTCGAACGGCATAGCTTTTTTTTTTCTAATTTGCCTACCAGATTCCGCGTACAATAATCAGTAGATGAATTCGGATCGTGGTTTCATGCATGTTCATAATCGTCTTGTATCGAAACTTGTCTTTTTATTCCGACCACTTCGGCTAACAGATGCCACTGTCATTATCGCCAGCATTGTGGTTCTCTCCTTGGGCACGGATAGCCAACGATTTGCTGCCAGTCCCCTTCGTGGTCTACGGTTTTTTCAAATACTTAGGATGATTCGAATGGATCGCCGTGGAGGGTCCTGGAAACTCCTCGCCTCCGTGGTATGGGCCCATAGGCAGGTGAGTACACTTGGCGAACACGGTATCGTTGATTGCCTTATCATGTTTACCAGATGTTTTTTTTTGCAGATGGATGAGGGATTTACGAGCACAGTCTGATATAACTTTTGGGGTTGCCTGACCTTCAATGCAGGGGAGGAGCGCATGGAGACTGTGCATATTGAGGTGGCATGTATTACAGAAAACTGGTCAAGGCTATCATCATGATCAACTCTATACAAACACGACTGCGTCTAGTGCACAAAATCAAGAGGGGCAAATAGAACATAGATAGAATGAAAGTACCTGTATTATGCTAATGAGGAATGCATGGAAATAAATTCTAATGATGTGTTCACAGAGGTTTTCTTATTTTACAACTGATGTACGAGCAACTGTCGTCAAAATAGAGGAGTGTTTCATTTTAATCGCACATGACTAATCAAATCAAAAACATAGATGAGTATTACCACAGATATGTTTTGTCTGATGTGAGCTAATGTCACATTCAGTCCCCTGAATGAAGCTGGAAACACTAAACGTTGAGGTGAAAGAAATTTGATAGAAGTCAGGATGTGTTGCTCCAGTTTGATCAATATCTGTCGTGTATGTCGTGGCAGTGGTGCATTAAATCACAATTCCCTCATTCCAAACGATGCCTGCTCGATTAAAAAGCACAGAACCCCTAAGCAAAGTGAAAACCAATAAAAAAAATCAATCAAGACGTGCAGCTTCATAGATAACTGGTGCAGCTTTCGGTTTATTCCAAACTCTTGCGCCTTGTCCACTAAGATGGGTAAATGGCTGCCTGCCGAATTCTATTTCCCCATTGCACGTGACAATACTGCACAGATTGAGTCACGGCTGTTTTGGTCTTAATTGCGAAGTTCCTTTTAGACGAGCCGACATGGCTGGTCTCAGCGTCGGAGAGCACTAGTGGTTAACTTTAGCAGTGCGCAGACTTGTGTGAGTAGAAGAGCGCTTTACACGTGTAAGCAACAGAAGAATGTGGATGAAATGTATAGCTGGGTAAATTCAATCGGGCTTTTTGAAGTCAAATAATCGAGAAACCGCATGTCATAGCAGGAATAAAAACTGGGTTATATTTTTGTTTCAATTTCCGATCAGATATTAGTTGACTCCACTGCTCATTTGTAGACGAATTCTCAGCATCTTTTCATATTCACGCTTTATTGCTTAACGTCCATTATCTCATTTCAAAAACGCATTGAATTGAAAGGTTTTTCGCGCGCACTATTTATTGTCTCAAAACATCAAGTACTCTGATGCAATACCTATTCATAATTTCTTTTTATATTAACCCCTGAGAAACTATATCAATAGCAATCACTTTATCTGTTCACATGATTTTTTTCGTGAAAACGATTTCTGGAAATTTCGTATAATACTATCAAAAGACAAGTAGTATATCGTGCAAGCTTATTTTCCTAACTTTATCGTGTGTGCTTATCCATAAAGGCACAAACGAACGTGATTCGGTCATTATGCTAGGTCAGAAAGGACAGCGTATGTTGGTCAGGTTATATGGGAGCATTCAGTTAGGCGAGGGAACCAAGGTCGCCGCGGGAAATTTCCGATGCGGCCGCGACGTGTCGCACCATGGCTACTATCGGTGATTCCCCATTACGGATTAAACAGCGTGAATGTTCAGGGTCACGACACATGGGAACATGGAATATGGAACAGTTTCCAGTGCTTAGGCGACGTTTCTTCTTCCAGTGATGTTGGATAACTTACGACTTAGGTCGGAAGATGTAGTCGTCGTCGTAAATTTACTGGTATTCACTGCTCAAATCAGGCCGATTACCTGATCGAGCAACTGCCATCCCGTAGAGGGGGAATTGAAAGGACTTAGCAGCTACTTGTGAACAAATGCGTTCAATTAGATTGGGCGAGAGAAGTGTATGGGTCGTGCCAAAAAGGGCGTGGGGGAGGGATTGTAGGCGGATGGTGATTGTGCGGATGGTGTCATAATTCGGTTGTTTCAAGAGAAAACAACCCGCAGGTCAATCGGCCTTACACCAAGAATGGTTGAATATGAGTCGTGACAAGTCGAATGGTACGCATAGAGAGAGAGAGAGAGGTAGTCAGATAAGAGTGCGATTAAAAACAGGCAAAACTGCGCTCCTTCTTTCGGCAGTTTCCTGACCTAAATTTGGGCATTGATTCCCAGTTTGCCCGGATTCAAACTTGACAGCATATAACATATCATAACTGGTACTTACAGCATCAATGCAAGAGTAAATAGTTTTCAATGACTGAAAAAATGCACAGTTAGGTGGTCCCCGAATTCATATACAAGAACAAAGTGCGCAGGTATGTCAACGTGAACGTTGTTTGTCCATGCTCGCGGTATGAGAGATTTCCGCTTCTATATGTATATTTGTGGCCCCTCATAGTGTGCCTTTGGATGTTCCTCCTCTGTCGGATCACCTGCTATGTTGGTTTGACGTCTGACGTTTTACTCTGCCGAAAGATTTATTATAGGCACACATTTTACATTACAGTGTTCTATAAATAAAGTGAAATCTAGACTGTCCTATAATCCAATGCCGGCCAGACACCCAGAAGCCTGGAAAGAGAATGACTGCATTCCATGCAGGTTGGAATCGAGTTTAACACAATTCCGCAATCGCTGGTCACGCAGTGTTCGGAGAACATGTGGTTGACAGCAAAAACCCGCATATTCAGAAGTCACAAGGGACGTTTGATAGCCGAAACGCTCCTGATCCGCGCTACATTATAGTAGAGTTCTACACGAAGTAGTCATCTCATTGCCTTATAATTGTTTGTAACGTGAGATTAACCGGTTAAACGACTTGCGAAATGCCTTCCAAGAGGTCTGATCGTTGTCACTAACGCCTTATTTATTTATTTTATGTTTGGTCTAGCTAAAACAAGCCAATGTTCTCAAAAATCAAAATCTGCCTAAATAGGATACCCAGAAGTTAATTGTGCATGAAAATAATACAAATGTAATCTCTTTTCTTAATCCCTGTGTTTCGACCAGGTTAGAAAAGCCCAATTTAACTAGTTAGACTGAGTCAAAAAAAGCCCGCATTCTTGTGTATTTTCGGATACTTCCTGGTGATGATTGATTTTGAGAGACAGAACAAGTTCAATTTGCCTGATGACCTGATAACCAATTTTCTATGTTGTTTCCATTTTTGTTTTTCTTCGTTTCATTGACAGGAACTGTTTACCACTGTGTATATCGGCTTCCTTGGTCTCATATCCAGCTCGTTTTTAGTCTACCTGCTCGAACGTGAAGTGAACGACAAAATCAAATCGTACGCGGATGCCCTTTGGTGGGGTGTGGTAAGTCACGGCTGAATCGGCCACCCAAATCCGTTCAAAGTTTTCTCGATGCGTACGTAGATCAGAGTGAGTGCAATTTCTAGTTCAGAATCATTTGAGCGTGGTACATTTTTAGCGCTTCCGGCTCCACATTCCCGTCGGACTCTGTAACCCTTAATTGTAACCTTTTGTCTTGAGTGACCTCAGCCAAATATCTGGGTATTAGTGTCGGTAATGGTATTCGATGGTCGACACGCATTCAGAACTTTATGGGAAAACTTCGGAGCCTCTCCGAAAGCTCAGACAATCTCGCACTCCCCAATAGGTTTTGTTCTCATTTGTTAGACAATGCGTCCTCCCTAGTGCACTTCACTGCTCCACTGTAGTATTTCTTGGTCTATTGTAAAAAGACAAACTATCCGTCGTGGATTGATAATAATAAGCTGTGCATCTTTAATTTCTGCCGAGTCAATAATTACATAACTTGTTAATGGTCATATGAAGTCTTGTGTGACCTTTGCCAATAAGATTCTAAATGACCTTTCCTATCTTTTTCATTTTGACTTATCTTCTTGTCGCTCCCACTTGATCACTCGTTCCTCTTATCGGTATTTTTCCTCTCGAATAAACATTTATAAAAACTCCCCTGTACCATATCTAGCTCGAAGCTGGACCAAAAAGAGATGAGTTATAAATGTATTAGGTCAATATTTACTTGAATGAATTAAAATTAGGAGACACCCCATTACATAACACCCTGTTGGATTTGTTTATACTTCTATTTATTTTCCGGTTTGATGGCCAGTGTACATTTTTTCACTGGAAATCTAAGCATATATTAGTTTGTAAAAGTTATACAAATACAAATAAAAATACCTATACAAATCGAACCGTCAATAACTGCTCTCGCTACGGTCATTTGGATTGGCCTACTTCGTCCACCCCCCCCCCAGCCCAGCCCCACCCGGATCCGGCCCGGCCCGGGTAACAGTTAGTTTTCACATGTGTTCTATGTCCGTCTCCTCCGATCCTGGTTGGATCCCAACTAACAAATGATACAACAGATTCCAGCCACACTGAAACGATATTTTTGAGTGAGTTTGATACGGGGATAAATGTGTGAATGCATGCATCATTCCAACAACAGACCAACAGCCATTGAGATCAGCCTCGGTCGATTGGTTGGTTGTGTGCTTGCTTGCTTTGTTCTTCTTCCGGTTTGCTCTGGTTGATACTCCAAGTCCGAACAATTTGAAGCAATCTAACAACACAAACTACTCTCTCCATTGCCTGGAAATGTAACAACTAGTGGTAGCAGCAGCAGCAGCTAATCATCGGCTAATTGATCTTTTTCATAGACATTTAAACTAACCCAGTCTGTTCGGGCAACAGGCAGAAGTGTCAGATGGTTCTCAAAGGCAATATGTATGGGAATCTGAAAACACAGATTAACAACTATTCCAGTTTTATACATAAGTGATACATCAACTAGGTGATGTTTTTCCATTCCTGCGACCATTAGTTATTCTCGTTCTACTATCTCAGCCCAGTCCTCCACAGTCCCGTCTCGTTGTAGTTATTGTTTGTTTGCTGTCATCAGCTGAGCTATTTGTGACCGTATTCCTGACATATTTATGCGTGCTGAATAAAGACTAAGCAGAAGTTATATAAATAAGAACTTGGTCTCGTAAAATGGACTTCCAATCCACCCAGAGCTGACTGCGTTAGTCTGTTTACTGGTTATTTTCAGCAACTGTTGTTTTCAATCTATCAGATCATCCTGACATATCGATCGGTGTTTGCCCTTCGCCACAGTTGTTCACGGATTTCCTCGAGTAAGTATGCTAGCGCGAGGGAGAGTGACCGAGACGATGAGCGGTCTGGAGCTCAAATTCCGAATGTTAAAGAGCTCAAACAAAAGAGAAAATTAATTATTGTGTGTTCCGTATATGCTACTATTCAACGGATGAATTAAGGATTGTGTGCAATGTGGTTTGAAAGAGCAGTCCACATAACACACAAACTATGGCGTTCATGAAAATAACAACTTTCAGGAAGTCTCACTCGTCAGGACGGTAATTCGTGTCCGCGACAGATACATCCGGATGAAACTATTTGTGTATTACCAACCCATTTTCTGCCTCGGTCATCTTCATCATGGACTATGGGTTGTCTGTGCCCATACGACAATCCAGAAAACAATCTGTAATCAACTTTGATTTTTTTGTGTTCGTGAATTTTATTAAGAGGAACTCAGTGTACCAGGTTAGGTCGAAACGAATAGAAACCGTTGTTGAACAGCTCTGTAGTACTCCAAGGTGCAGTTCTTTCCCCATACTTATTTTTTACGTATACAAGTAACTTGTCTGCTTGTTTCCCCTACTTATCTCTTCAAGTTTGCTGATGATGTGGTCTTGTGTCAGGCCATATCTGACTCTTCTGGTCTGTCACAATTTTCTGACAACTTGGATAACGTACAACGGTTTTCCACCACCTCGGGCCTATATCTTAATCCCTCCAAATGTTTCGAATGTCTCTTTACACTTTCACGCTCATCTTTCCCATCTGAACCGGTATCGATTGTTTCCGAACCAGTATCCCGGGTAAACTGCAGTAAATACTTGGTCGTTTTTATTGATACTAATCTTCACTGGATCTCTCACATTCAACGCATCGTCCGTAAGCTTCGATAACTTTCTTTTCATATCCGTAAACTTTGTCAGTTTCGTACTGCACAGTCAATCAGTTCTAATTCTGTGTATCAGTGTGTTTTCCTTGTTTTACTTGATTGTTCATCTGTTATTTTTCCTAACCTCCTTAAGAAAGATTTTAATTTGATTCAACGTGGATTGACCATCATTAGCCGTGTCTCTTCAGTCCCACTAAAGCAGTTAGTAACTAATCTATGCAACGTCATTTGAGTGCATGTGAAAAGTTTGCGCATAAGATTCTCATGAACTCTACACATCCGCTACACGCTGACCTAACTTCCTGTTGTTCCCATCCCTCAACTAGATTACAATATCGTTGTGTTCCCTCTCGAATAAACATTTACCGTAACTCAACAGTACCCTTATTAGCACGTATTCTGGTTACCAAAACACAGGTTTTCACAGAATTTGTTACCAGTTTTAGAACATAAATCTCTTTTTTTCATTGTTATTTTCATTTTCTCCCTTGCTCCAAACTGTACATTTTTTACTGAAATACGGGCTTCATGCTTTCAGAAGTTATTGCAATACAATACAATAGAATACCGGGTTAAAAGGTCACTTTTTTAAACGAATTAGCGCATTGACATTGTAAGTAAATTTCATACTGATTTCCAGATTGCGGTTTCACATCACTCAGAACCACAATGGGGTAACAAACAGTATCATTACAAATACTACTAGTTCTTTGATCGTCCTCATGAAATCTTTGTGAGTTTGACACAAAGCATTTTTTTCACAAAACATCTGTTTCAGACTTGGGCTTAACACATTCCATCTTCCGCTAGTGTTTGGTCAGCTGTTGAACAAACTCGTGCAACATGACTCTCTTTGCGGAAATCCGTTTCTGTTTCCAATATCATACATACAAGTGTATTTCGATAGCCTTGGGTGCAGTGCGTTCTTATTCCGAACTTCATCTTCCACTTCTCTGTTCTTAGTTTCCTTCTATCACCGTTTAAGTTTGCGCCACCTTGAGCCTCGCTACAAAATTGTAATGATTTTAAAGTTACGGCCCAGTTTTGTTGGTCTCTTGCACATGACAATTTAGATACTACAAACTTTCTTGCACTGATAAAGGAGGATTTTGATAACTGTCACTCACAATGCAGTCGTGAAAGTCATATCTCTCACGGATGAAGGTTAGTATACCTTCTCGCTTGAGATTTGTAGTAGAAAACGTTTAGTTAGATCTCATTAAATATTATTTTCATGTGTATGCAATTTCTGGGGGGGGGTCAAGTCCAACGTCAAACTCGTTCAATTACCACCCAGTACTTAGGATTTCAATGTAATGGAAACCTTTTCCCTGTGTTATAAACAGGGATAAGACAGCTTCTTCGGCAGTCGTTGTCATTGGTTAGGATGTGGTATGTTATAGGGGAAAAGTTTCTTTTTTCTTCCTTCGTCACTTTTACTCCCTTTTATTTAATATACAATGACACAATTTTCAGGAAGAGGGAAGCAGCCAATCAAAGGGCTGCCATCTAACACACACATACTGAGGAAATTTAGGTGGCGGTGGTGGGATTCGAACACACGTCCGCTTGGGCGATAATTTGATGATGCTACCACCGGGCCACCATCGTCAGCAAATGCTGTCGGGCAGTCAACTTAGTGGACTCTGAGCAAAAAAAACGAGGAATGACAAAAAGAACATTGACAAAATGAAAGTACTTGTATGCACCTGCATTAATCCCGAGTTATTTTTTAAAATAAATCCTAACGAGGTATATTTGGTGAGAATTAGTTATTTCAGAAGTCATGCACCAATAACTGTCGTGAAAATAAAGAAATCGGACAATCTATTGGCATTGGATCAATGGTAGCAAAGACATGAGTAGATGTAATCACATATACGTTGCGTCTTATGTCGGGCCATATCATATACAATCCCATAAATGTGGCTTGAAGCACTACGCGTTGGGGGGAACAAATGNGGTGGAACAAATGTAACGGAAGTCACGGTTTTGGTTGAGTTTAATCAGTATCTGTAAATGACCAGTGTTCGGATTAGGCCCACCGAAGATAAATTTTACTTCATCGAGTACACCATAAAAATCTCATTGAATGGAGCTCGCGAAAACAATCTCGCTTCCCATCCAGATAAAAATGAAGTTTGAGAGACAATACCAGCTTATAATTGGAGCAGTTCGAGAGGAGAAGTAGTAAAACATGTTTAGGCACGTAATTGATCTCACATGATGATATACATTCCATATGGCAGAACACAAGTCATTGTGTTGAAACTGCCGGGCAGTTTTTTCAAGTCTCCGATTCCTGATAACCATTGTTTATTGACAAAATTTCCTTGTTCACGAGTAAGCAACCTGGAAGGGGTTTGACAAGGCGATAATTCGTGTCCACGACAAACACATCCGCACCCCACCGATTGTTTTTAACCAAAGATGACAACATCCCAATCAACATCAATTTAAGTGAATTTATCGTTCTGTTTACCACAAAATTACTCAGAAAACGAAGTTAGTTTTCGTGTTTACCTGCATTTATCTATTTTTCTTCTTCATCGGCTCAACCATCATCATGATCGAACTGGTAGTAAGTCCAAACGAATAATAGCATGTTTTTTGTTCCTTCCTAAAACGCGTTTAAACTGATCAAGGTCATGGAAATATGAGCCCTCTTCTTTCACCCCACGTACTATTCAATTCAAGCAGAAGCACACAGGTGAAAGAGCTAATTCCATGGATAAAACGGGTCATAACTGACTGGGGGCTGATGTATTTTGAACGCAGATTATCCCTGTTTGTCGGTCTTCCGCTTTGACCTCTTACTTACCGTGTAACCTGCGAGAGAGAGGGGAATAAAGTTTACAACCTGTACTGATCTGGAATGATAGGTATCCGCCTATCAGTGGAAGCACACACGCACACACGTTTACTGAGTTTTAGATTTGCTCTCCTCAAAAAGAACGGAAAAAATTTGACTGAAGACCCTGAGACATTTTCTATCCATTTCTGTCTCCTACGCGTAGGCAACAATGAGGTCCGTTCGTAAACAATCCCCAAATGCAGGTTAGCTATATGCGTCGTCTATAACTCTGATGGTCATCACTGTTTGTGATAGATGTGCTTCTTTGTGTGTGTGTGTGTATGTGTGTGGTTCATCATTGGTTGTCTGTATACGGCTCCGTTTTTATTTCGCCTTGTCCATGTGAATGCGAGCGATCGATGAAACTCGGAACGACGACGACAACAACAACAACAACTGAATATCGAACGACCTCGTTCGAGCAAAAATATGCAAGATATTTAACCCACTTGAAAATACCGGACTGAGAAACCGCTCAACTTCTTCGGATGCGCTTTTGGGGTCATGATCACTTGATAGGTGACCGTGAACAGTTTGTTTCAGTTTGTTTTTTTCTAATGTCTACAGGAACTTATATTTGTAAAGTTGATTGGGTCAGCGGATGGGAAAAGCAATTCTCAGTTTCACAAGTTCTGAATCCTCCAAACAAATATCATATATCATATCATATCATCACAAATAAAATAAGAATGTACTTAAACGCGGTGGTGATGTTGATGTGCTGACACAATCGAATTCGTCCCCGCTGCCTGATTGCCTCCCTTAGACACAGAGCTGTTGTCAATTTACTGGTGATAACTTGAAGGGAAAAAATCAATATTGTGGGATATTGTGTTTGCTGTAATCAATTTCTAGCGCAATGTGAACGAGCATGTCACAGTTTCAGTTTCAGTTTGTACAGCCATTAACCATGCACGCAATTTCGTGCGCCGGTTTTGGTTTGCTGTCTTTCGGCTGACCATTTGGATAAACAGTATGAGAAAGGCATGAAAGATTGATGGTAGGATCAAAGAGAACTTTTGTAGAAGTTCACTGGGGTAATGTTGTAGAGGAATGACCCTGCGAGTTACTTTTCACAGCCTTTTCACAGCCGTAGATCATATCATGCCTGAA